GAGAGAGAGAGAGAGAGAGAGAGAGAGAGAGAGAGAGAGAGAGAGAGAGAGAGAGAGAAGAGGTAGTTTCACACACGACGCATGAGTGTGTGCACACACAGACACACACACACACACACAGAGAGAGAGAGAGAGAGAGAGAGAGAGAGAGAGAGAGAGAGAGAGAGAGAGAGAGAGAGAGAGAGAGAGCAGTCTGCTCAGACTGACACACTCTTCTCACCATTCGTTTTTGTATTCTTGCCCTTACCGGCCAGGGATGGAAACCCCTCCAACGATGAAAGAATACCTGGCACAGTTGATGGCCAATGAGAGGGTGAGAAAGATCTACGGTCCAACTATTTGCAAGGCGACAAGGTTAGTACCGTCCGATCCCTTCGCTATCTGCGGCTGAAAAGGATGCCACACACAGGAACGGCCCTCATTCCTGTACTTTTCTGACCGCTAGTGGGCCTTTGCCCCGGGTTTTGTGAAAAAAAGAAGAAGAGGAAATAATTCATTCTCATTATGCATATTGGGTGGTCCTGCGAGGCCCTTATAGCTCACCACGAGGGCTCTCTGTGAAAGGCGCGCTTTGCGTAGAAAGCAAAAAAAAACAAACGAGGAAGAAAAAGGGAAGGCGCATGTGAGCCCGCCGTTGTCAAGCGGAAGCAGTTTTTTTTTTTTTTTTTTTTTTTACATAAGCGCACGCATTGGAGAGCGTCCGTCGTTATTTTTCTTATTTTTCTTATATTTATCTTATTATTATTATTTTTCTTATTTTAATTCCTATTCCTATTTCGTTTTGAATTTCGAATCTGACATCTGTCGACAACCTGTGCCCCCGCGCTTTCAAAAAAAGCGAAAGAAGAAAAGACAAAAAGCATTGCTACGTGTCATCACAGCGCGTCACCATGTCCGCTGTAATATTTCCCCCGCAGCAACGTTCGATTTCCGTTCATTTTCAGCCACTGGTGTCCTCAGCAGAAGCGTTTGCTTTCGAGATCACAGAGCTGGCGGCCGCCGCCATCGCAGGGCAGCGCGTTTTTTTGCAAAAACTGCCGCCCGTGTATGGAGAGCTGGCGGCGAGATTTGATGATATCTCGCGCTCACTCTGAACAGCTTTTAAAGATTCGGCAGCTTCCTGCAGCGGCGCCTCTTTTGCTTGTTATCGCCCGCCAAAAAAACGTTCGAGTTTGATTTCGACTCCGTTTCTCCATACATATATGTATGTTTTACGATATATATATATATTTATATATTTATATATATATGACCTTTGGTCTGCAATCTGCATATTGCCCATTGCCTTTCGCTGCTACGTCTCTTTTGAGAACGGGGTGTTTGATATCTCTACGCCTCATTGATCGCTCGTTCTGTTGGCGCAGAACGGCGTTTTTTTCAGCTCTTTGATTGTCAGCCTCGGGTGGTTCTTACCGCTGTTTGATCATCATCCACTGGAGGGCTTGCGGAGATACGGTGGAGGACTTCATCGATACCTCCTTTTGAGTGTGTAAGTTTGTATACTGTGAGGAGCGGCTGCCGGAGGAGAAGTTGGTATCGTTAGCTGTGTTTGGCCTGTGCCAGTCGCAGATATGGCTAGATCAACCAGCATGTCGGCGATGACGGTGTTGGCGTGGGTGTTGATGGGAGTGCTGTTTTCTCCATGCCAAGCTCAATTTGGATTCCCCGCTCCAGCTTCCGCTTCCGCTCCAGTTCTCCCTTCCGCTTCCGATTCCACTCCCGCGTCGGCATCGCTGACAGAAGCTTCGGCTCCTCTCTCTATGGCTTCGACCCCTGCATCAGATACGGGTTCGATAGATTCGACCCCTGCATCTGGTTTGGGTTCGATCCCTCCATCTGTTGGCTCTTCGATGCCCGCATCTCCGTCGCTGTCGCAATCAGCGCCAGGGAGTATTACGCCGCCTGCTAGTCTCTCGTTCTCTCCCGTTAGTTCCATTTCGTCGACACCACTGTCGTCAGTCCCTACTTCGGAGTTCGAGAGCATGCCATCATCACCTGCATCTGGGTCCGCATCGGATTCTTTGCCTGCTTCCGATGGGTCGATGTCTTCGGCCCTTCCATCGGAGTCCCAACCACCTCTTGCACCCAATTCTTCCGTCGCATCGACCTCTATGCCGCTCGCATCCGGATCGCAATTGGATGGTGCATCAATTGCTTCCGTCACGTCGATCTCTATGCCGCCCGCATCGGGATCGCAACCGGATAGGGCATCCGTCTCACAGAGCTTGCCTTCGAAGTCGTCAATCCTATCCATTTCGTCCCAATCTCCGAGTACGAGTTATACCGGGGGGAGCAAGCCTATGGGTCCCGCTGTCCCGTCCGCTTCCTCGAACACCGCCTGGGCCGTCCATCCGTCTCTTGCTGTTTCAGCGATCGGTGTGGCTGTTGTCATTGCGCAAATTTTCTTCGCTTAAAGAAGATAGTGTGAACGATGTGCCTGGGATCTCTGTGCGAAGGCTATCTTCTCATTTAATTTAGCGTTTCTGTTTGCATGAATTTCAAGGGGAGAAGGAGATGTAATCTCCATTTCGTTTCTTTTTTCTATACGTCTTCCCGGAGTTCACTTTCTGGTGCCGAGAAAAGACAAAGGGGCTCATTAACTGAGTAATTGTCTGTTGACAGGAAAAACAGAAGAGGTGTCTTTTAGGAATTTTACGTAATTTTCCTATTGTTAATATTTAAACCTGAATTACTATCGGTTGTCCAAAAAATGTCGTTTTTTCCTTTCATTTTTATTTTCAACTTGAGTAACGGTTTGTTATCAACGCAGTAAAAAGAGCGGCTTGGCTCTCTGGCATCTCTGCTCAGTCATAGCGTACGCCAGATGCGGACGGGCTTTATAGAGCTCCTTTTATACGTTTCCGGTACAGGCTGTAGCGCTTTTAAGTTCTACCGTTCCTCGTTTACCTATCTTTTCCCTACGGAGAGGGGCGTGTCACTCTTCGTCCAAATTGAAAAAAGTGCAGATGGGCAAGTTCTTGTTTACCCTCCCTCATTCCCCCCCNTTTTTTTAAAATTACTTCATTAGTCTTCCCTTTCTCCCCGTTTAGCTCGGGGTGGAGAGATCCTCAAGTTTTGGTTCTGTCTTAGGATTTTGTGTACATTTTGTTTTCGCTCGGAGTCGGAGTGGAGATGAGATGAGCGAGTGTAGTGTCGTTTTCCTCGATGTCATGTACATTTTTGTTTTTCTTCGTTGAACTGGACTTTACCTGTTAGGTTATCCTGTCGCTTTATTATAATTATGTATATCTTTTTCTTTATTTCCTTAATGTTTTTGCTGGTCGAAATTGAACTGGAGATGGCGAGTGAGGTCTCTTTTTTTTTTTTTTTTTTTTTTTTCTTAGGTCTTAAGAGCCCATTTGCTAGCCCTCTATCCCGGTGGTGGTAACAGAACCAACGGGATTGAGGTCTTGAGAGTCGGGCTGCCCCATCTGTTGGTGGCGAGCGGCACCTGCTGGAAACATGGTCCAGCGTCCCTTAGGACATCGTTGATAACCGCGGTTTTCTTGCACATTCAGTTCATAGGGCTGTGGCTATAAAATACCGGTTATGTAGAGCTCTTATTTCTTCCGCAGTAGGGCTGCGATCTCCCCCTTGGATTGAACTGGAGATCAACACATTGTCATTTCATTTGTTGCACAACTTTGCCTTTTCTTTTACAACTTTCTACTTCTTTTTTTTCTGAATAATAAATTGACTCAGAGAGGCGGATATTTTTTTTGTGGACTAAATTGAAGGTAAGTCTCACGAAGAAGAAAAAATGAGGATCTTTAAAAGACGTCTACTGTTTTGACAGTCTATTAGCTGTGGGCGTGGAAGAGAAACATGGGAGGGGGGCAAGTTTTCGACATTTGTCTGTTCGTTGATGACCATCATTGGCGGTAGAGATGTAGGGAGGGGGTTTCGATCTGCTGCCCTGGAGAATCGCAATGTGGACGGACAGTACGTTTACGACGAGAGGTTTTTCTTTTTCGATATGCATTTCCGTTGGTTTTCCACAATCAACGGCAGCGATGATATGTCGGCGGAGGTAGCTACGTTCGATCTGCTGTAGTTGGTATTCGCAAATTATATTCGGAGGTTGTGCGTGTGGATGATTGAGGTTCGATCTGCTGCAGTAGGTTACTAGCAAGTATGTTCCTTCGATTTCCACTTTCAACGGCAGAGATGAGGGCTTAGTTGTCGACCAAGGTAGGGATTTCATCCGCTGCAGACGATGCTTAGCTTGGCTGCTGATCTGTCATGTCAATTAAAACTCAGACGAGCTAGCGGGGGGATGCAGAGAAGATGGTAATCCTCTTGTCTATTGAAAATTAGACGAGCAACCGGGGGGGGCTGCAGAGATGACGATTCACTCCTCTATCGGAAATTGGACGAGCAAGCGTGCGCCTCCGGAGATGGTGATTCGCTTCTCCAGAGAGAGAAAAAAGCTGGCTCGTCGAGTTGATGAGAAACTGTTCGTTTTTCCCCGAATCGTTACGACTGGGGTTCGATCTGCTGCAATAGATAATCGCAATTATATTCACACGCCGTGTATGCTTGGCGGTCGATTTGATGTATCATCGATGGTGTTCGATCTGCTTCAATAGATATTCGCAGTAATATTCACACTTCCTGTGTGCTTGGCGGTCGATTTTATGTATCATCGATGGTGTTCGATCTGCTGCAGTAGATATTCGCAGTTGCATCCACACGCCGTGTATGCTTGGCGGTCGATTTTATGTATCATCGATGGGGTTGGATCTGCCGCAGTTGGTATTCGCAATTATATGCACACGCCGTGTATGCTTAGCAGTCGATTTTACGTATCATCGAGGATGGATCTGAACGATACTGCTGAGCGAGTCGAAAAAAACCGTGTCGTCCTCAGCTTTGAATTCTTCAGCTTGTGCTCAGCTTCGAACTCTTCAGTCTGTTCGCAGCTTCCAACTCTTCAGCTTGCCACTAGTTGAATGCAGGGTAGCCGGGGGAGTGACACTGAACGAGACGGAACGAAACGGAACGAAACGGGACGAGACCGTGTCATCAGCTTCGAACACTTTGTACTCAGCTTGGAACTTTTCAGCTTGTATTCAGCAAGTCAGCGTGCACGAAACGGAACGAAACTGCGACTAGGTAGCCCAGCGGAATGAGACTGAACGAGACGAATCGAGACGGAACGAAACGGGACGAAACAGTGTCATCAGCTTCGAACTGCTTGTACTCAGCTTGTAACTCTTCAGCTGTACTCAACTTCGCACTCTTCCACTTGTCCTCAGCTTCGAACTCTTGAGTTTGTTCGCTGCTTCGAACTCTTCAGTTTGTTCGCATCTTCAAACTCCAGCTTCGAACTCTTGAGTTTATTTGTATTTTCGAACTCTTGAGTTTGTTCGCAGCTTCGAACTCTTCAGCTTGCCACTAGTTGAACGCTAACGAGACGGAACGGAATGACACTGAACGAGACGAAACGAGACGGAATGAAACGGGACGAAACAGTGTCATCAGCTTCGAACTGCTTGTACTCAGTTTGGAACTCTTTAGCTTGTACTCAACTTCGCACTCTTCAACTTGTCCTCAGCTTCGAAGTCTTGAGTTTGTTCGCAGCTTCGAACTCTTGAGTTTGTTGGCAGCTTCGAACTCCAGCTTCGAACTCTTGAGTTTGTTCGCAGCTTCGAACTCCAGCTTCGAACTCTTCAGCTTGCCACCCTAGTTGAACGCTAACGAGACGGAACGGAATGCCACTGAACGAGACGAAAAGAGACGGGACGAGACGGAACGAAACGGGATGAAACCGTGTCATGAGCTTCGAACTCCTTGTACTCAGCTTGCACGGTAGCTCCTGGATGGAAAGGAACACTACCGGGTCGAAAGAGATTGGAAGTACAAAGAGGCGCGATGAAGATGAAGTCAAGTTTGGCTTGGAGATTTCGAAACGGAAAAAAACGGAACGAAACGGAATTGGAAACGTTTTATAGCGACGCCATGGCTGCCTTGCTTCTAAGCTATTGCCACTGTATTTTCATTGTTGTTTTTTTTTAATAGAAAGGGTAATTTCTTTGTTGAGACTGTGCAAGGCTCGTCACTCTTGCAATAGGGTTTGGAAGGTGGTGTTGTAAAAGACGTAATCGTCCTCGTTGGGGCATTGTTCGTTCGTGACGGGAGTTATTACATTTGATCACTTCGAATGCATTTGCTTAGGATAGGGTTTGCATCTGGTCCAAGGTCGCGGTCAGATTCATCCCGTACAGTCGTCGTTTGAGTACGCGCGAAGCTCTTTTCTTTGTTGAAGTTGCATCGAAGTATCGACGTTGTTAAGGTTTTGGAGTTTTCTTTTTCTTTTCTTTTCTTCAAATTTGTATTTCCATTATATATTGAATAATTGTTCGGGCTGCCGCTCGTGGGAGGGGCGTGGAGTCTCCCTTTTATTATTATTCCTCTTTTTCTATTAGATATGGCATTTGAGTTTATTCTCATCTTGTTAACAAGGACACACCACGTAAAGCAGCGAGGTTCAAGCTTCAATATGCATGCCGGCAGTGGGGTACATATCACTAACGCTAACGTCGTTAAGCGATTCATTAAGTTATCGAGCAAATGAAGGAAAGCTAAGAATTTCACTAACGCTAAGCGATTGGTTACATCAGCAAGCAAATAAGGAACGAGAACTTATGCTCCTGCCCGTTTCAGTAAAAGTTGTTGATTGATTTCATTGCTTATTGTCGTTCACTTCCGCGATATTTCGTCTATGTGTTCTTCACCTATGTATGAGTCGGTGAAACTTCGATGAAACAGTTTGTCACAGCCCCTCGCTTGTTGTCTTCTCCCTCTCTGCCTCAATCAATTCGTTGGAGGCGACATCGGCCAGTTGCAAATGGCCGTGCCATAGATACGCGCGTCTACATGAGTGGGTGTTGTGCGCCCGCTGCGCTCCTGCGCTTGCTCGTGGGTGCGTGCGTGCCTGTAAGTGATGGATAGACAGGCAAATACATCATATATATATATATTGTCACACTGGAAATCAGAGCGCAAAGGTGGAAAAAGACAAAACAAGAAAAAGAAACCGGACAGTTGTGTTTGACGATATATATTAATATGATGTCGTTATGAAACTGGTTCCATAATTTTCCATCTTCAGTTTGCTCTCCATCGGTTGTCGGCTCGGACGATTTATTTTTAATAATAAAGAAAATCATTCTTCAACTCCTGCTACGACTTCGCTGTTTTTTTTTGTTCTTTTTTTATTTTTTTTAAGACAATGAATAACAAGACAAAGCAGTATATTATGAGGTGTTAATTGATTCAGACAGCTCTTTTTTTTTTCTTAAGAAGGCGACGACCTTGCGTGATCACCATGTCGGGGTTCATCCCGTGAATTTTCTCTTCCTAGTTCTTACTATCGCGATTCAAGCCCAGGGGCGTGGTCCCACCAGCAAAGAGGGTCGGGATAGAATGCCTGAATCTGGACGAGTTTATGGAGATGTGCAGGAAATCGAGATTGAACTGCTTTTCTGCATCTCTGCTTAAAACACATCCAGATTCAGGAGCTCGATCGCATCCTTTTTGCTAGTGGGACCTCGGCCCAGGTGTGTATTTCATCAGATCGTGGGCGTCCTACCAATTGAGGTAGGGTTGTCGATGTTAGGACGGGCTTGAAAGTGCTGACGAATATTCTTTTCCTTTAAGGACTTCGTTTAGGCCTTGACTGACACGTAAGCTGGCTCCTCCTGTCACCTTCTGAAGTGGGATCCTGCACCGAAGTTCTCAAAAAAGAAAAAAGAAGGGGAAACTACGCGGGAGTCACAAAAATTGAGGTATAATTGCCCTATGGGTCGAGGTACAGTTTCGAATTGCAGTTTGGGCAATGTATATAACTGAGCTTTCTGGCCAGGTAGGCTGCCTGAAATGCAATTGCAAACTTTATCTTGGCCCATAGTGCAAATTATAACTCGTTTTGTGACTCTACTGAAGTTGCCCCCCCTTCCAAACTTGAATAACTTTGCATCGAGTGAATTAAGGTCGTCGGTATTCAGGCATAGTATCTGAACGAGTGTTTGGATGTGCGAACGATTGCCGACGAATATTCTTTTCATTTCAGGACTTCGTTTAGGCCTTCTTGAATGACACGTAAGGTGGCTCTACTCCTATCACCTTCGTAAGTGGGATCCTGCACTGTAAACTTCGTAAACCTCCAAAAGAAGGTAAAACAAAAGCTATCAAAATACGAAAAATGAAAGGTGACTCCCTAAGCTACCAGCGGGTCCGCGCGGGTCACCCTATTTTCCCGGGCGGCCCGGCCGTGCAAGGACCATGGAAGGTCCCAGTTAAAAAAAAACAATCCAAAAAATCCGAAAACAAACTATGTTATGCAGACAAATAAACTGAACAACTTTTGCTCCAGGGTCGCATCGAAAAATTGAAAAGTTTTTTTTGTTTTTTTTTCATATCCTTTTGGCCCGGCCAGGCAAGTGGACCCGGGCCACTCTGGTAGCCTAGGTAACTCCATTACTACGGTAGTATACCAACCAGCGTATTGAAGCTTGAACCCTCTGGATGAATGGTTACTAAGCTTGGACTAACTACCTGGGCGCTCGGTATATCTCCACAGTAGGAGGGCAGCAGAGGAAAGGTGAATGGGATCAGGAATGAGTCCCACTTACGCTGATTCTTCATTTCGGGCCGTTGATCTTTCGAATCTACGGTCAGAAGTTGAGATTTCAAGTCAGTGGGACTTGGCCCCGGGTTAGGAGCGGTTCAATTTGGTCTATGCCTTCAAAACAAACAAACAAACAAAAAAACCTTGAACCTCGCTGCTTCACTCTGGTAGCCTAGGTAACTCCATTATTATGGTAGTTTCAAAACTTCCAGTTCCTACCAAAGCATGGGATCTGGGAAAAAGTTGGGGAAAAGTCGTAAAACCTTCCCTGCGACAAAAAACTTTGTATCCATTTCCCCCCAAACGACAAAAAAGTTCCGCAGGTCCGAAATCACTTTCCGCGTCAGTTTTGCACACCCTGCAAAACACTTTCCTGCCGCTCTTACACAGCGGCCGTTGCCTGCCCAGCCAGGGTGCAAAAATGACACCAAAAGTGATTTTCGGACCTGCCACACTTTGTTTCTCGTTTGGGGGGAAATGGATACGAAGGTTTCGTCGCCCGGGGCTCGTCCACATGCACCGTTTAGTTGAGCCAGCTCAACCGTGTGACACACCGAAAAGCCTTTTTAAAATCGAAAACAAATGGAAACATAAATGAAAATGGCATGTCTAGTATTATTGTGTTGTTTTTTTTTTCGCAAATGTTTTGTATATCGTGGGCATGTCATTATGACGACTCCCTACAAAAAAGGAAAGTTCTTGGCAGTCTGACAAGAGTGCGAACGTTTTCCCTCACGTCATGGCTGTCCAAGGAACGTGGTTTCGATTCCAGCCACATACAGCCCCGAAATGCCAAGCATATATGTCCTATTGTGAAACGGCTGTCAACAGGGCGTCTGTCAGCCCGAACATGACGGAAGGCCTCAAAACGGTTTGACACCTCGCAATGATGACGAAAGCAAAAAAAAAAAACGTAACGCAACCAAAAAAAGAGCACGGAGCGTTGAGCAAGCTGTCTCCTTTTTTCGAGACAGCTAGCTCAACGCAAACGGCGAAGGGTAGGGGGCGTTGTAAACGAGGGTTTGGATTTTTGGAGACAGTTCCGGACACCAAAAAATGACCAGTTCGGAGGACTACAACACATAACTGAAGTCAACGGCTGGATGTTCACAACACCTGACATCCCTGGCGTCGCCCTGAGTCGCACGTGATAGAAAACCCAACGCTGAGCTAGCTGAACGGTGCTAGTGGGACGAGGCCCCGGGAGGTTTTATGACTTTTCCCAAAAAGTTGGTATGCACTATGTATGCTTACAACGGTGATATTGTAGGTTCAAATCCTACCCAGCCTATCTGGATTTTGGGTGTTTAAACTTAGTTTGTAGAAACGGCCTGTGGGGTCTGCAAAACCCCTCTGCGGCAATCCGTGGGCCTTTTCGCGAGCCTGTGCGGTCGAGACCTTACTGCTTTTCCACAGCCAGCACGTCTGTCTATCTGACAAGTTGCCGAAGGAAACGGTAAAACCACCCATAGCACATTCGGCCTTGCCACACCGCTGTTGAAAAGAGAGCAATAACGGCGGACGCAGCATTAAAAAAACGTGTGCCGGCAAAGAAAGCATGCACGAACTCGTATTTGGTGGGTTTATGGTCAACACGGGTGTGAGTGTGAGCATGAGTCGGTTGTGTATGGTGTGTGGGAGAGTGTTGGCCATAGCCTCTGCTGCTCCTCGATGAGGGGTGCTGGGTCTTTGCGTTAGCCGGACCCCCACCGGCGGCCCCACCCCATCTCTGACTACCGCTGTTGGGGCGAGGCCCTATGCTTGCAGCGGTCCCCTCTATAGTCTTAGGAGTAGTGGTACGAAGGTAGTGAAAGGCGAAAAAAGAATTTGACAGAAGAACATAGTGTAGTTAAAAAAAAAGAGCCGTCCAAAAGTATCAGTTGGGCAATTTCGTCCCCCCCCCGGGTTATATCCCGCTGACAAGTATCCGTTAGGCAATTTTTATTTTTTTCCCATTAATCCCTCTGACACCATGGTCGACCCCTGTAACTATGACACTCGGTCTGACACGACGGCCGGTACTTCCATTGCCTTTTTGAACTCGGTGCGGTTTTCTTTGTAGATGTGCGCTTTTTTTTTCCCATTCTGTACTCAAAAGGTGACAAGAATGTAAAAAAAACGAGAAGTTATTAAACATCCCCGCGGTGAAACCTTTGCATCCCTCAAAAAAAAAAAAAAAAAGGAAACCTTTGCATTCATTGATGTTCCAAGGGTATGCTAAGAGGATCTTAACAAATCAAAACACAATCTTGAACAAGAGCAGTAATTGCAAAATAACCAAATGTAGATAAATAACATTAATTCCAGGGGATCCTCCATGTGAAAAACTGGCCTGTGAAGGCCCAGCACCTCCACCCCAACCCAAAATTTGCCATCCTCCATGCGGTAGTTGAAATGAAATTGTAATGACATGTCAACATGTCTGCAGACAGTGGTGGTAGGAGCGCATGCTGGGGCAGAGTCTTGGAAGCATGCTCACAACCTGAGAGGCCTCCAGATGCCTCCTATGCCACTGGCCTGTTGGGCGGTATTGAGCTGATAGCTCAATTTGGCTCCCGTCGTGGAATGGAGAAGGAGAGGGGACACATGCTCCATCTGCTTATTCAATGGCTTGTTGTTAACGAAGTTGGACGTAGCCTGTATGACTGCTGCGATCTTGATGCGCTGGCCTTTCTCGAGGGATGCTGGCTGCCTGGGTTGCGAGTCCGTTCCCGAACCAAGGATAAGTATGGTCGACCTTTTGCTGCAGTTAGTACAGTGAGGGCAGTATCAGCAACCTGAGTACCTGCTTCAAGTATCTCGATGACCTCGGGGTGATGAGAACATAATCTCCGCCGAAGAACTTCATTCGTTTGACGACCGAGTTGATCAGCACTGTTGGGGGAAATAGCCACAAGTAGGAGTCTTGTTCTTGTTGGAACTGCGACCAATCTGCTGCAAGTGCATCAACATCGCTTCTTTTTTTTTTTCGGCCAAGGGGTAGAGAAGATATGCAATGCTGGGTGCCGGAGAGGGTACGCCCTTGGGACGAAATTCGCTAATTAGGGTTTCCTCAGACTCTACCTAGCTCTGTCTGTGCTGGTGTAGTCCATTAGTTGACGCGATTTGCCATTCTGAGGATCTAGCGGCGGCGGTTTGTGTGTCGTGGAAGGTTGGCTCACGAATTCCGTAGCAGTGTCCTTTTTTTTTTTTTTTTTTTTTTTTTTTTTTTT